CCAGAATCTATCAATACATAGGCTAATAAGCTAGATATGAGGATGCTACTTACTACAACATTTCGATTTTGATCCTTTACCTGCTCTGTCATTGTAAAGATCATTGCCTGTCCCCTAGGTGTATATCCCTACTACTCTTGTGCATTGTCTTGTTTCTGCTTTGTATTCCCTTGTTTATTTTGGACATTTTTTTATGTTTCTGTTGTTCATTCCCAAGTTGTTTGTTCTTAGGACAAAACATGGTGATGTTTCCTCGTTCTCCACATTGGAAACATACATTCTCTTGTTCCTTTGATTATTTTGGACATTCTCATGTTTCTGTTGTTTGTTCCCAAGTTTTTCTTAGGGCAAAACATGGCGATGGGTTCTCGTTCTCCACATCGGAAACATACATTCTTTCCTGAAAGACAAGCTCCCTGATGGTGTTTTTGGCACTTGCTGCTAAGTGGAAAGCTCTTATTGACATCTTGAGATGGATCTCTTCTACCCTTCTTTGAAAAGTTCTATTTTCTTTTGCCCTTATTATCCACCCACTTTTGTTTCTCCAACTGTCCATACTGCTCCTTATTTTTTCCACCAGCATGCCCTTTGAAATTTTCTAGCTGTGCTTTTGCTAGCACCTCATGGTAAGTTTCTAGTTTAAGCACTACAACAGCGTCTTAGATCATCCCTCAAACCCTGCTTGAAACGTCTTGCCGTTTTTCCTCAATGTCCGCAAAAGTAGGGACATAATGAGACAAGTCTTTAAACTTATGCTCATATTCAGTTAATGACATTGAGCCTTGAGTTAACGTGAGAAACTCTGCTTCCTTTTGATTTCAATCACTCATAGGGTAATACTTCTTCAAAAATGATTCCTTAAACTCGTTCCACGTCCAAACGTGATCGCGAACTCTTGACCTCAATGTGGACTTCCTCAAGCATCTAGCCTCTTTTTGTAGCATAAATGTTGCACATATAACTCTTGGGGTCTTGGCAATCAGTGAGTTCAAGAATTCTTTCTATGCTTACCAATCAGTCTTCTGCTTTTAAAGGGTCTGTGTTGCTACTAAAATTCGGAGGATGTTGTTTCATGAATTGCTCTACAACCATGGCTGTGTTCCTAGTGTCTGATACCACTTTTTAAGGCGGCTGAGGTTGTGGTGGCACAAGTGGTGGTGTTGGCTATTGAAGAGGTGGTGGTGTCGGCAATGTAGTTTGAATGAGTTTGCATCATGGCTAGAAATTGATGGGCAAACTATGGGTCGATCGCGACAA